AGATGCTGTGACCTTGTTTATTGTGCCTGCTCTGTTCCTGTCGGTGTGATAGCGGCTGTTAAGGTCTTCTGTCACGCCGCTCGGTGTCATGTAATCAATGGCTCAGTGCCAGGAAGTGCCTATAGTCAGAGAAGTCATCATCATCCGTCTAGATGATGTGTCTGGAAATTTGATAACTTCTCCTCTGGCAGTCAATGTAATCTGAACAACTGCGGAGTGATCTGTCATACTAGAATAAGCCTACATCTGCAGATCATTCATGTGGGGGTGTTTCTTCATTTATGAGGTGATTTTTAATTAAAAACCAGAAGGTTTCAAAAGTTTTATAAATTAATGAAGGTCACATTAAAAGGAAAACAAAAACCTTTCAAACTATACCATCCAGCAAATTGTTATTATTATTATTATTATTATTATTATTATTATTGTTATTTTCAGTTGAAATACTTTGGAGAAATCTGTTGGGTAAATGCAGTAAAGCTGAATGTTTGGTACCTCAGGTAACATGAACTAGCAATAAACAATTCTTTTTTTTTACTAACTAAAATTTTGTATTGTAGTGTATTTATAATTCAGAAATATAAAACTATTATTTAGTTACAGTTTAGAAAGCTCGGATACAAAAATGGCACTGAATTGCTCTCAATAACTGGCTATTTTATTACAATAAATGTGTAGAATATAATTTGGTCACACTTTATTTTGATGGTCTGTTTGTTAAATTTAACTTACATTGCATCTACATGCCAACTAATGCTCATTAGATTATAAGTAGACTGTTAGGTTGGGGTTAGTGTAAGTTGATGTACTTGCAAAGTTTCTTATCGTCAGTTAAATCGCTGTTAAAGGTATCAGCACATATTAAGCAGACAATCTAATACTCAAATGCACCATTAAAATAAAGTGTTACCTATAACTTGAATGATGTCATATGAAACAAATTGGAAATGTGGTGGATGCGTCCATGTTTTTAAAAATAAATTAAATAAATTTTTTATAGTTTTCTTGTATCTGTCCACTCTTGGACATTTTTCAACAACATGCTTTAGTTAAAGGTGCAATAGGAAATGCTAATGTTAGCCTGATAGCACTGAAAGCCTACATCCCACCCTTCAAGTCAGCATCCAAAGCCACCACTCCTGAACGCATGGATGTGCACTACAATAATAAACTACACTACAAACACTACAGTACTTCACACAATATTCACTAGTGAAAAACATAGTATTTTAACATGTTTCATGTGTTTTGACTGGCAGGACAGACTTTCGTAATGTTCGGACCAAACTTATGGATTGATCAATCCTTTCTTGGTCCTACATCATCCACAGATTATTAAAAAAAATGTAAATATGTCTTCGTCAATGATGTAGTGGTTAGTGCATCAACATATGCACCCGGTGCTCATGGCGACCTGAGTTCTGTTCCCACCTCGAGGTCCTATGCCCATCCTTCCCCTCTCTCTGCTCCCCACACTTTCCTGTTAATACTCTTTACTGTCCTGTCCATTACCATATTTTATCCATAACCAACAGAAGATAAAAATAGTAGTTACATAAAGAAAAACAGCATGCTTTTTTTTCCATTGGATTGCAACCCGTTTTTTTACTAAGCGGAAATTCAACCCGTTTCCCTGGCGACGTTTGCTGGTTGCCAATTTAGTGAAATATAGAGAGGGTGCTCGCTGCAGAGCCATTTGAGGAGAGGTGAGCTCCAGAGAGGGGAGCATGAGCTGTCGCTCCTCCTCCTGTAAGCTGTTTTAATGCATACACCAACCCCACCCCTAACCCTACCCCCAGTGACATCACTCGTAGAAGAAGTGCAAAAAAGGTGGAGCTCAAGCTTAAGCTCCCCCTCTCTGGAGCTCACCTCTCCTCAGATGGCTCTGCAGCGAGCACCACTTGGAAATATATGACCAAAGTACCACATAATACCTGCCATGAGTATAACCGCATTCACCATCAGGAGGCGGTATAATTACTCTCGTAGGAGAATTTTGCTTTTGCAATACATGAGCAAGCTGTGGTCGTTTAGTGTGTGTATTCATCATTCCACACTTCATTTTACCGGTTAAATAGTGCATCATCCAGGTAATTAAAGTGCACTTACTATTTTCAGAGTTTTGAATGTGAACACACTGCTTACACTATTTATACTACAAGATGGTGTAGAATAGTGCATAAGTATGCGGTTTGGGATGCACCTATTGCAATAGGGTCAGATAAAGCAGACTGATTTCATGGTACCAGGTTAAACTTTGACACCTTTACAGCACTCACGCAGATTAAAAATACATTCATGCCACAACTGAACATGGAGGATGGTCTCTGAGTGGCGTTTTCCAAAATTAAACGAAGAATAGACTTGGGCCTATTGGTCTGTGCACTGTTGCGTGCAAGGTTTGTATAATTAGAACCACCTTAGAGGATATTGGGGGTTGCCAGGCTGAAAAGTTTGGGAACCCCTGACCTATTGCACCTTTAACTAGTTGAAATAGTGATAATTCATTTTAAACAAAGCGGGAAGCGCCCATAATTGAGCAAACACTACATGTTCAATACTCTTATTATACATTTTTTGGAATTTCCAATCCATTTAAATAGACAGTAGGGAAAAACACTCTTAAAAATAAAGTTATGCCCCAAAAGAACATAAAATGTATTGTGTTAAGTGTGTATAATCTAAAAAAAATGTATTCAACTGTAAAGAAGGTCAAACGTTCCATGGATGGTAAAGGTAGTTCAGGTTACCAATGATGCCAGTAAAGAACTTTTTTTAAAAATGTTTAAAATGATAAGCCTGATAAAACCATAGATTTATAATATAGATCTACCAATAATTTACACACCTCAGCTACAGTATACCTTTACAATTTATGACCTATTTTCACTCATTGGCATTAACCGACATCGACTGATTGCTTCATGTATGCATGTTGTCTCCATGGCTTCTGTCAATGACATCACAACCACGTTGCTTCATTGTTACCACACATCTGAATGCAATGAGGAGTAAATCCAAGCTCCTCCAAAACTGAGTAAAGCGTAGTGCATGACTGTGGATACGTCCTGAGTCATGTCCGCTTTGCTTAGCACTGTGTTGCAGATTATTACCCACTGTTTCTTCAATTGCCTGTGTGTCTATGTGTGTATCAAGACATGCTTCTCTTTCTTTGCTTGTCACAACTTTTTAGTTTTCACACCGATATGTCAATATACACACATAGCATACTGTATGTTTTGTGTTGGCCTTTTGAGTTTTGTTTTGTACTTCCATTCATTTATTTGATTACGGCCTGGTCTGTTTTGAGCATATGAGAATGTCCATTACCTTTATTTTTGAGTGATAACTGTGAACTGACTGCTTGAGTTCATTTATTGTGTCTACGATTTAATTTCATTTGGTTTGTCATCTGTCTTTCTTTGAGAAACTCTTAAGATCTGGTTGCACAGCTTTAGTTTAAAGACTTGTGTTTACTTAAGCAGCACTGGTGCATTGGATGAAGCACAGATGAAACTAAATTCTAGTATTAGTAACTAACTAGTATATTATTACTTATCTAAAAATCTCAGATTAATAAGCAATTTTCATTACAAAAAATATCCAAACCAGCAATCAACAGAATGGTTGCAAGTATGGTGTTCCTCTTATTCAACAATTCACTAAATGCAAATATAAAATTAATCTACTTGCTATTATGACACCATACAATTTTAACTCTTGAATGAATCAGTATTTTTGAATGAACAATTCAATTAATCATAAAGCCTTAACTTGTTAGGTCATTAGAGGGATAGTTCAACCAAAAATGAAAATGTACTCACTATTTACTCTTCACTTGTTTCAAACCTGCTGAGTTTCTTTCATCTGCTGAACACAAAGGAAGACATTTTGAAGAGTGCTGAAAACCTGTTAGCCTGTATGACATCCATGGTGTAGAAAAAAACAAGATACCAAGAAAGTCAATGGTTACAGGTTTTAAGTTTCTTTTAAATATCATGTTGTGTTCACAGCAAGGCAAGTTTATTTATATTGCACATTTCATACACAGCATGTCAAAGTGCTTTACATAGACAGGAATAAAAGAGACAAGTATAAGAAAATAATAAAAGTGATTAAAAACAGATTAAAATTGTTAAAACTGGTTATAAATGAATGAAAAAGAAAATAAAAACATAATAGTGTGGTCTGCCGGATGTAGCACAGCGCTCATTCAGTAAAGGCACAGCTAAACAGATGTGTTTTCAGTTTTGATTTAAACATGCCTAATGTTGGAGCACGTCTGATCATTTCTGAAAGCTGATTCCCTCTGCGGGGGCAGATTGACCCTGCTTTGACTGAACCCTTGGCATTTCTAAAGTTTATATTAAATATCTTGGTGATCTGTTAAGTTTGTATTCAGTGAGCATATCTGGTATGTATTGAGGTCCTAGGCCATTTAGTTGTTTATAGACAAGTAATAATACTTTAAAATCTATTCTGAATGTAAACGCCAGTGTAAAAACCTGAGGACAGGTGTGATGTGCTCTTACTGATTCAATAGATGAAAGAAACTCAATCACGTTTTGAACAAGGGTGAGTAAATGATAACATATTTTTTCAGATTTGCTTGAAATATTCCTTTAAAGCCTAAAACTAAAGCATACTTTTGGTTTAAAACAGCAAATTGAGTGATACAAAAGTTCCCAGTGCTGACCCAAGAAATTCCTATTCTTTGCAGTTCTAATTGGTGCCACTAAAAATGAAACATTGCCCATGAAATACTAGCTACTCAAAACAGCTAACAAACTTCTTGAGTGTGTATCTTGAAGCAACCTGATCTTGAGCTGTCTGTGCATTGTAAGGCATGTCCAGAACAGGGTCAACGATGTTGCGGGTGTTTTCTATCACACATGTACTGAGAGATTTCTTTGCTCCTCCCTCCTCTATCTCAACCCTCTCTCTTTGTCCTCACTCTGTTTTCTTTCTGTGTACCTCGTCCCCCCTCTGTCCTTGTGCAGATGCGGGTAGTGAAAGCGTTCCGTAGCTCCCTTTATGACGGAATCGAGAAACCCGCGTCCCGGAATTCCATCCACAACTTCATGGCGCACCCTGAGTTTCTCATCAACGACTACATTCACAACATCCCGCTGATCGACGACACCGACATTGACGAAGAATCAGAGTGGTCAAGGCACAACCACCAGTTGCATCCGGCCTTCCGAAAGCCCCCTCCTCCTCCAGTCCAGCAACCGCAGCGCTCCCGCCCTCCGCCCCGTCCCTACCGCCAGTACAGCCTCCCTGCCACACCAAACCGAAACAACAACGCCATCGAGAGCACCGTCTACCACCTGAACCTCCCCACAGGCCCCGAAGGCCACTGGACATCCCCGCCCCAAAAGCTAAATCCCCTCCTCGCCCTGGAGACCTCACTATGACTGAGGGACGAGACCCTAAAAACTTTGAGGATCTGTGTGGATCAGGCTGATGGGGGAGGCTCCTAAGGACATATTTTAGGTGGTTGACCCCCAACACTATGACAGGGTCATCTCATTACAATCATCTGCCCACTACCACCACCATCCACCGGAAGCACTATCACTCCTCTTGTCTCGACAACAGCCCCACAGACACCTCTCTTCTCACCGTGTGGAGAGGAGGTCAGTCTGCTGTGTGTCTGTGGTTCCTTTGGACGGACCTGAGTAGGTGAGGGATCCAGATCTGATGGATTTTAGTGCTGGTGACTTTTGACTTCTCCGAATGCAAAGGAATTCGTTCCCTACGTGTGGAGTAGGGGTCCATTCACTTTACTTTTATCGGTGTTACTGAACTCGATATTATGATTACTATCATTTTTGACTTCTACTATAGCCACCTTCATCATGAGTGCTCGGATTTCATTACGATATCACAGAATACTACTTTTATTACTCTGAGTAATGCTTTATGGATTAGCTTTAAAACATGTTTGTTTATTTATTTATTTATGTGCTCATTTATTTATTGTGATCACCAACTTTTATTTTTCAATGTCTGTTTCTCTCTCTAAGTGTCTGTGTGTGTGTGTGTGTGTTGTATCTGTCTTAAAAGCATAACAAGCTAGAAAAAAAAGTACTAACAAAGCAAAGATAATATTAATTTGAAGCTTAGGCTAACTCGATTATAATGCGTCTGCTGATAACAAAAAGGCAAAAATATTGCTGCAACACATTGTTTGACAGAAATTTTGTGTAAAATATTTGATTATTTAACGGGCGATTTGTAGCTTTACTCTAAACGAGTGTAAGCTTCTTTTATTTTAAGATGGGAATCATGCTCATATTTTAAACATTCACACAATGTTTATGTTTAAAATATAAAACAGGGTAAAGGATTTGGGCAACCCCATCGCAGAGATGTTATGGTCATGCATGGGATTGTAGGTGGTTTCCGATCTTAGCATTGGCAATCAGCCTTACGACAAAATGGCCTTGTTAATATGTCTTACCTAGTTCAAAGTAGTCAGATTTGTAAGGATTTCAGTGGGTTTGCCCAGACTCAACATTTAATGGTGTCTTATATATTTCTTTCGCATTCAAGCCATTAAAAATTCATGTTGTGCAAATGACACCAACAAATGCATTAACCCTTTAAACATGAATAATTCTGTTCGCTCAGTACATGCATACCTGCTGGCCCTTTAAACGCATTCGCACTCACACTTGCTTTCCTCATGCGTGTGGTATATATTTATTAGATTGTGAATATCTATGGACTGTGGCCACCAGGGTAGGGGAATTCATCTTATACTGCCATACCATAGTTAAATATCAAAGATACTAACGATGGACAATCCATGAGGGTATCATTACTTTTGCACAATGTCTGGGTCCACTGAGCAAACCTTCGCCATGGACTTCGATAGGCACACTGTTTGGCTATTGGTCCATTTGTTAGCATTTCCCAATATGTTTGCACAGAACAATAATCTCTATTATATACATAAAGGCATGCATGATAGAGTGTTTGATTCAGTTACATTCCATTGATGTCCATTGATCAGCCGTACCATCCGGGGATACCTCCTTTTACACCCCATTATCGTATGGAATGGTACCGTTATGATCATACCGCTACAGTCGAAGCATTGTAATGTAATACAATCATTTTGGGGAATGAGACCGGCACTTATGCAACAGACTGCCCTGCCCACAGCTCTGTGAAATACGCTTCACAACATGTACATATGGATCTCGAGAAAAAAAAAAAAAAAGAAAACCTTTATCTGTATAGAATACTTTTCTAGATTGTCCAGTTCAGAGAAACTGGCGAATATTGAAAGCAGACAATGCAAGCATGAGCGTCACTAGATCATGTCATTGCATTGGTCGGTTGTGTCTTTGCGGAGCATGTTGATATCATAGCGTTCGCCCTTCACTGTCATTGTTTGACTTCACTTTTGTCTGTCGATGCTTCAGTGTGGCTCTTAAGCAGTTGGTGGACACATGATTCTCCTCCCAGCACATCTGTGCTGTCATTAATGTGCTGTTGTCCATGCTGATGTTCTCCTCCTGATACTCTGCCCTGTTTGTGGCGTGGAGCCCGGAGGTGGAGCAGTGTCGCACTGCCAGTATGACTAATCGTTAAATGCCAACAGACACACTGCTTAAAATGGGTTGACTCATTCTTCGGCCAGAACATTTTGTCGTTGAATCTTTAAGCGGAAACCCATTTTTCAGAGGAATATTCTGGGTTTGGACCTTCCTTTTCTTAAAAAGAGCAAAAACTTAAGGATACAGTGTGACTGGAATTGAATTCAGAAATACAAGAATAATCACTTTTTCAATAGCACTTTACACTTTGACAGTCTTTAGTGTCCCTATGCTCGCCTCTCATGCAGGAAACATTTGTCCTCGTCCCATTCAAAGTTAAGCAAGTAGAACCAGTTAAAGTAGAAGTATGGAATGAGTATATCTGAGGCTAGCTAGAAAAAGTGATGTTGATAAAAATCAATTCTCTGGCCTCAAGACATGCAATAGTGACTGACAGTATGGGTGGCAACATAATGGGGGTTACTCTGTCCAGCAGACACACATCATAAGATGTTAATATTAGGGTAAAATTGGGTCATGACATCAGGTCACCAAAATTCAATGTCTAGCCTGTGTCCAGGGACTACGTTATTTTGACGTCCAATAACAATGTCAAAAAATTACGTTGATATTTGGTTGATTTTAGGTTGTGTTGGAAAGTGACCAAAATACATTTTCTGATTTATGACATAGTGGTAATCCACACAACGTCAAGGTGTAACATGCTTAGACGTTGATATTTGGTTGATTTTAGGTTGGACATTGAACACTGATGTCGGCCTGAAATTTTTTTTGAAGTCAAACCGATTTTCATTTCCGAACAAAATTCAACATCCCCACGAAATTGGGGTATGTTGGGACACAACGTCAATATGACGTCATGTTGATGTCCTGTGCCTGCAGGGTAGTGTTGTGAACCAAATAGTGAGATGTAAGGGGATGAGTGTAACACTGGCTAGCTAGTAAGAGCGGACATTATTGCTTGGATATCATGCTAGCGTCTCCTTTCATGAAATATAGCAGGGATATACTTAAACCTACCAACATATGTTATCATTATTTTTAGAATGACTTAGAAGAAGGACAACAAATTAATTTACGATTTAACTGCATAATTTTGGTTTATAGAAATAGTCTGCAATTTATACCACATTTATCAACATTTCTAAAATATCGACTCTGTAATGCGAACCAGAATGCTGTAACCTTGATTTTTGCTCTTTTTCTTTTCTAAAGAAAACATCTCTGTCTCTTTTTCTGAATTCTGCCCCAAATGCTTAATTTGTGAACCCAGAAAATTCCTTAAAGCACATGTGTGCTGTATCTGCATGAATGTGTGCGACCTTTCAGTAGGTTCAATCAGTTTCAGACAGTTCCAGTGGAGTCTCCAATATGGAGAGCGCTGGCAGGTCTCACAGGCTGAACCCATTTGAAGGCCTAAACACAGTCAGCAGGCCAAAGTGGTGGTCAGGGAGGATAGCTCAGTTTACTTGCTAAACCATGATAAAGAAACATCTCCTAACCTTATCTTATCCTCAGCAAAGCTTAACTACCAAAATAGGCCTCAAGCTATGCTCGTCTTCTAATTTTTTATTATTTTTAAAAATCTAACTATATCTAAGACGTATACCCCAATCATCTCCAGACAGTGATGATATTTATATATTACAGTGGCATATGTATGGTATCCCTCCTCTCCACCACAACAAACAGCCACTTTATTAAGACTCCTGATAGAGTGACAAATATATATGCGCATATATATAAATATATATATTAAAAAAAGAAAACAGATAATCCAAAACTCCATCGTCTGCCTTCATTTTGTTCCATTCTGTTGTAGAAAAAAAATCACGCAAGGTAAGGTGAAAAAATGTAATGTGAAAAAGAGTAAATAATATACTATATTTAATATAAAAGTTATAAATTATTGTACAACTGCACCATCACTGTACATTTTTGCCAAAATGTGCACATGTGCATTTTTGTTTACGATTTAAGCACATTTTTGTTTGTTTTACTCTATTGTCTCTTCCTCTTTCTTTCTCTTTTTGCTTTTTTGTAAAGAATATAAATTGAACAGCTTGTACATTATTATTATTATGACTATTATTATAATTATAATTATGATTATTGTCTTTTTCCATCAGTGCTCTTTTAGCTGATGGAAAAAACAGTTGCACATTCTCCTGAACATACACTTACTGCTCTACAATGAAAAAAGACAAAAAAGAGAAAAAAAGAAACTATTAAATATATTAATAATTACCTGCCTGTTACTTAAGAGAAAAAAAGTATCTATCTATGATGAAAGAACACAGCTGTATACTGTAGACTAAACTGTATGGAAATCTAAGAATTTAATGGGAAAATAAATCAACACTTTTTGTCTGTATAAAAAAAAATCTAATCAAAGTATTCTACAATAATAACTTTGACCAGTGTCTGTGGTTGTGTTTTTTATTGTGTGCCTGTGATTATTTCTTCAGCCTAATGATATAATATTTTTTACATACATTTTTATTTATGTACATATATATCCTGAAAATGCAAAAAAAAAAAAAAAAAAAATTGTCTGACATACAAGTAAGAACTACACAGCTCACATAACTGACGCAACATTTTCAAGAAAAATGTACAGTAGTTTTCTTTCTTTTTAGTTAATATTACAGTCAGTCATTTAACATTTTCATTACGAAAGGTTAGTTGTCACAATTCCAAGATTTTACTTGAATCTTTCCTTGCTCATTTTTTTACATTAAGGGAAAAGTTACTTGCTTAGCTTTCTGTTGAATAGTAACATAAACAAAGGCATAATAATGATAGCATCAACTCCCATGTGACATATGTCTCCATGTGAGGAAGCTCACGTTATGATTTTTTAAATAATTCAGTTTTTTGCATCGACTGACCGTTTTGTATAGTTCCACAGGTCAGGAACCATGGGTGTTCACTTTGTTTTGTCTATATAATTTTTGCAGTAACCATTGACAGTTGTTGTTTTATAAATCACAAAATTTTAATGTTTTTAAACAAAGGGGTGAGTAAACTAACAGCAAATTTTAATACCTTTCCAAAATAACAATCGATTTATATTTTCTGGTATAAATCTTAGTTTACACACACACAAAATCAAATGCTGTTACACGTTAGTTAACACTGACTATCCTCAACACAAACTATTCCAAGAAAATATAAACTAAATTACAATGTGCAAGTGGTGAATACATGATGTCAGAGCACAGAAGAATATTTTGCCATGGGTTCCTTCAAGATCTTACTGAAGCAGGGCTCAACAATGAGGACTGCCCGATGGCCCAGGGTCAGCGTGAGAGACGCTTGGGACAGTAGACAGGATCATTACTGGCCCAATCAGGATAGTGCTGCATTTTCACTAAAGTTTAATGTGCCTGTGAGACTATTTGTCAATTGCGTGAATTTTAAGTTTGTGCTTTTAAACCTTTAAATGCGACCTTCTCTGTGATGTTGAGTTGCAGTTGCAGTTCCTCTTATCTGATTTGATGTTTTGATCATACTTTTTTGCCGTAATCTGGTAACAACCAGTACAGTAAAGAGACGGCAACATCAAATTATGAAGCTAAAAGATTCTGTCTGGAATCAGACATTTACGTGGGTACAACATAACAAAAAAAATTAAGTGATGTTTTACACAATTTGCCGTCACTATGACAAGTTGGCCACCTTTTGGTAAATAATTTCGAATGGCAATAAAATACCTGCACATTTCCCATAATGCTTTTTTTTTGTTTGCATAACACATTGAATTTTGATAATTATACATTTATTAACGTTTTAAAATATTTAAATTCTAGATTCACAGATATTATTTTTGACGCATTATATAAATATGTGGCTAAAAACAGCTATTAATCTCTCTCTTTTTTTTTTTGGTGGGGCCAGAGAAAAATTTGCCAGGGCAAGTAAAAATTTGAATCATTGGCCCGATCAGACCAGTAGAAAAAATCTTTAGAGTTAAACCCTGCTGAAAGGTTTTGTAATTCAGATTTTCTTAAGAACTGATGAACTTGACAAAACATATTTTGTTTTACAACGTAAACTACCAGCACATTGTGTCTAATGTACAGTATGATGTAACAAAATAAATCTATTAGGTCACGTAAATCACGTTACGTTCACACAGATGGTAGTTTTCCTAAATATATTTTATAATTTAAAAAATCAAAAATAAATATTATATTATATAAATATTATATATATATACAAAACACATTGAATATGATTAAAATATACCCATCAAGACACATCAATATTTTAGATTGTTTGCCTGGCCAAGTAAGAAGAGAAATCATTGAGTAAATAAGACATTTCAGAAGTTAAACAGATCTAGAGAACACACATAAACCAGCCCAAACTGCTAAGCATGGAATGCATTAAATCATATCTAATACAGGAACAGGAGGATTTTAGTTGTTCTGGGTTATGCTTATTGCTTCACTTGTAAAATATAATACGCATGCATAATATGCAACCATATTTTGTAACTATGCTAAAACCATAGACTGTAAAAAAAAACCGTACATATATGCATTAACTATACCATGAACTGAAGAATTTGCTGTTTGGATCTAATGTAATAAAAAAGTTACCCATAATGGCCTAAACAGACATATGATAATTTTTAAAATAAATAAATAAAACCTTAATTGCCGTTTAGTAAGTAAATTAGTCACATTATAACAAACCATGAATTTGTACACGTTTTCTAAAAAAAAAGCAGGAATTAAAGACTATATGGGGGTTTATTTAGATTATTATTTTAGAAAACGTGTCTTTTACCCACAATTTATAAAAGTAAAGAAACACTAAAATGCCATATAGTATGTACTACAGAAAGACTATAGCAAGCTAGTCTATTTAGCACACGAATCGATTTACTAAAACAGCATAGCATAACACTAATGACCATATTTGTTACCGTGTAGTTTTCAGTTTTAATATGCGCGTGGCCGCTGAGCGTCGCTGTAGCGTCACTGACGCACAGACTCACTGCAGGAATAACAACATGGCGGGCATTTCGAAAGAACATCAGCTGTCTCTGCGAGTATACAACACTCTTCAGGTAGTTTGCATATCTTCATACACCCGCCACACACGCTGCCACGAGACATTTCATAATTTCATTACGCTTTGCAAACTTAAAACCAGCTGTTTTGTGTCATTAGTAGAACTTAACATCTAAATAGCTAACGTTACATCAGTTGCTAGTTTTTAAGCTAACGTTAGCGGCGATTGTATATAGTAACAGGTATAAACAGTCATTATTATTATTTCATCACTTGAACGAAGGTGATTAGTACTTTTTTATAGTTTTGGATTTAATTTGGCTTGTGAGGCTCTTTAAATTAAGTAACGTGATCTATTTAGCGATTCGTTACATACAGTTTAAGAACCCGGGTGTCAGAATTAATAACGTTAGATGTGGTGTTTAAATTGTAATGTTTTCAGAGTTTGGGTTGTCCCCTGGTGGATGGACTGTACCTGAGGGAGGCAGACAGCGTTCAGGAGCTCCTCTGCACTCCGTCTTTTCACAGGACTGATATACTCAAGTGGATCTGCGCCAGGTCTGAATTACTGTTCACATTGCGATGATGTTGCCAGATCTGTTCATCATGAGTTCATATGCTAAAAAGCCTCGATATATTGTGTTTGCTGTTAACAGCATCTGTCCATCCTTAAAGGAAAAGTTTTCCTCTATTAAATCAACTCCTAATGAAGAATCGATTGAAGGTAATCCTTTAAATTACTTACTTAACTTTCATGTCAATTTGCACATAACAGCTGCACATATAACATTGTATATAGTAAAATACATGTGCATATGCTTGTCAATTTGTATACTTGCATTCACTTCTTACTGCTATTTTAAAAATATATTTATTATCTGTTTTTGTCCTGTCTCTGTAATTCTGTTGCATTGTAGAAGCTCTGTCACAAAAGCAAATCCCTCTTATGTGTATACGTACCTGTCAATAAAGCTCTTTCTAATTTCTGATTTCTAAATGTTTTGTTTTATGTAGAAGAGCTTTAACAATAGTTTGGTTGACTCATTTTTTGAATTTTTCATGATAATTTGGTTCGTCTTGTTCTTTCTCTCACACAGAGCTCACAAGGTTTGGTTATCAGATGATGTTATGTAAAGCTAACGACAAGGATTTAATCAAGGTATGGAAATAAATAATTATGCAGATTTATACTAAAAAAAAATGTGTTTACTCTCTTTATTTTTTCTAATGACCAGACTAGACTGTATAAAAAACCGTGCTCTTGGTTTTACTTTGGCTTTCATTATTGAACTTTACAGCAATACCTTTCTTGCACAAAATATTTCTATTAAATCAAGTAGTTTTATACTGGGTGCTTGACATTTTAGATAGTAAAGACGATCTTATCTTAAATGTACAAACTAAAATAATTCATTTATTTTGCTATTTCTGACAAATGATTTGTTATTTTTCAGGGTCTTGCACCACCTTTACGACAGCTGGTGTTTCTAGAGCAGCTTCTAAGGGTTATTCAAGCAGACGCCTCTCTGTGCTCTGGGTAACTCTTAAAGCATTTTGTAATAGTGATTTAACTAAATATGCTCTGATGTATTTGCTTTATTTTTGATCAATTTCCACTGAAATGTATTTATTTTTTGGTCTAATTTTCCTAGACAGATATTAAAATATTCTTAAAACGGTAAAACCACACAGAAACAGTAATATTTAAAAAATTAATTAATTTACTCACACTCACATCAGCTACGGTATAGATTAATTTTTTGTAATGCATAATATTTAAAGAAATTTATTTGGGGATTCATAATATGCTAGCTAGTCAATGTCTACTAGCACTATGAAAGTCAAAAAACAAAATGATGCCCTTTAACTCTTGAAGATACAAAGAGCTCGTTGAAGCCAAATGCAAGCAACTGAACATAATTAGCATGTTACCATAATTACATTGTTAATTCACAGCCTCAGCCAAACTGAGCACACTCACGGCAGTCTGGAGCTAAAGCTTCATGATCAAGTTTATTTGCATCCCAACTCACTTTTTCACATTGTAGAGAGTTAGCTTATGTCATATAATTCTTTCAAATGTCACTTGTGCTTATTATAAATGCTTCAACCTGTTGCTAAATTAAATTCTTTAGCATTGGGATCTGCCAAATCATCTCAGTGCATCTCCAGGTTTAACATCAACCTTTATTCACACCGTCTGAAAGTGCTAAATATTTTAATGTGAGCTTGTTTATATATGTCATTTTGTTTTGATGGATGCAGGCAGAACTCATCTTCTGGAGATGAAGGTGTAAAGAGCAATGATCTTCTTGAAGAACTGATCTCTCAGGATCATTTACCTGACCTCTACATGCTTCTGGATCCAGCCTGCAATCCATGGCCTGCACACATCCGTGAACATCTGATACGCACACATTCGGCTCACAACAAAATCAATGGGAACCACAGTAAATTCAGTGATTTCGTAAGCAGGTTTGTGTCTTTGTCAGTCACCTATAGTTTCTGGGGTTTTTTTGTCTGTTTTTTTAATGGTTTATTATTTTTGTTGTTAATAATAATCATTTTGTGAATCAGAATAATATAAATTTACATTGTAACACCTAGGGATGCTCCGATCAATCAGCCGGAGATTGGTATCAGCCGATAAATCAAAGTAAATGATTTACAATTGCTTTTTATGGGTTTACAAGCAGAGGAAGATGCATTCTTGTGAATCAAATATATGCTCTAAACTTTTTCTTCATTGAGCCACATTGAATTATTCTTCCTTCATTTGCAATGTTTCCAAATTGCAATTGTATACTTCTTACCAAATTTTTTATCTGTTTAATCTATTATTTTCTGTAAAGCTGCTTCTGGCCATTAGATGTGCAAACTAAATGCTTATAAGAGACTTGTTTAAGGGATTATATGCAACATCATTTATTTTTCTTTTAGGTAAGTTAAAAGCTTCAGTTAAGAAATGTACTTGAAGGGAAAAACGTGCTTTATGCAATGTTAAAGTTTTATAAACCTTGAAGCATCACAATAGGTAATCTGTATCGGCCGTACACCATGACGAGGAATCAGTACTTGGTATCAGCTTCAAAATTCCTTATCGGAGCATCCCTAGTAAAACCTCTCCAAATAAAAAAAGAAACAAAAGAAACAAAGCTACCCCTTTAAAAGCAGGGTGATTAATGCCAATAGCCTCATGAGCAGTGTGCCAACATATAATGCCATTGCATTTCGGGCAAGGATTTGAGTCTAGGCTTTTATACCTTTCCCAATCTCAATTATTCTTTTCAAAGTTTCTACATACTGTCTACATACCATCCTATCATAATAAAGACAAAAATGCAACTGCAAAAAAGTACTAAAAGTCTATAAGCCACACTGATATAGAAACGGGTTGACAAAGAACTATTGTCTGTGACTGGCAAGTGTTGATGCAAAAGCCATTCTACGAATGCCAATTAATGGGCAGATATGCAGCTTTATTTTAAGAACTTACAAGACAAAAAATATGATGAATGATTGCCCTGTATGGTCTTTTATTAGTCTGTTGTCAAATAAAATCAAATCACTTTTATTGTCACATCATCAGCAACACGTGTGCTATGATAAGTGAAAAGCTTAGGTGCTGGCTCCAGCCAGTACAAAATACAGACAGTGCAAATACAATGACAGTGCAAAATACAATGACAGTGCAAATACATTGACAGTGCAAAATACAATGACAGTGCAAAATACAGGCAGTGCAAAATACAACGACAGTGCAAAACACAGATAGTGCAAAATGCAATACAAGAGCATACTCCTAAAAAACACGACAATCTAAAATTGGCAGTGTTGACATCGATATGTACAATGAATAGGTGATAATACGTGATAACGTCTTTTAATACGGTTGTTATTTGCTGTTTTTGAAGGAGTGATCAAGATTCCCGACTTGTAAGTCATGGAGAAGAAAGCTTGACGGAGGCCATGGCACTTCTGAAGTCTACTCAAAGCACATTAGATGAGCTCCATAAAGAGGTGGAACTACATTTCACATCTTGATGTCATGTGTTTTTTTTCTGTAATGACGTGATCCTCTCTGTGTCCCTCAGTGTGAGTTTCTGCAGTCACATTCTTCAGGTTCTGCAGTGTTGTCTCCTTGTGCGCTGAAACTGGCAATCTCGGACATGTCTCAGCTCATGACGGCCTTCGGACACATCTATAACACTGATTTTAAGGGGTACTGCCAGCGATCCCCTCCAACCCTCAGTTCAGAGATGACTGTGTTTCAATCTGTACATCAGCTCCTGCACACATGTAATACGGTAAAGCTTTGCACATTCATTTGCTTGAGATTAACAGAGTTCATTTTGTGTTTTTGTTAGTTTAAAATCTGAATATAATTTAACAGGTTTTCTGAAGACTTATGGTGAAAACGCTAAATTAAACGCTCTCCAAAGTGGATGAATTTGAAAATTTCATGTTGCAGTGTGGCTTTCAAAAACAATGACACGTTTTTTAGTCTTTTGACCAACTCAGCTAAAATAGTGGACAGTGTTCAATGAATACACACTCTCTAATGAAAATGACCTGCTATGCAAATGTCCATTTGTACATGAGCAATTCCATGCAAATGTCCACTTTGTCATGAAAATTTTTTTTATGTTTTTGCCGAAATATTGAAACTGTTTTTGCGTTTTTTGTGTAAGCAACTATTTTACAGTGCTTTAAAAATACTTAAAAAAATGTCTCTTTTTACCAAAATCACACAAGTGGCAATTTCACATTGGTCACATCTATAACGGAGAGACGTCACATCCATAACTAAGCTTTTTTCTTATAGATGCAAAAAAATGTCAAATAAAATAAAATCAGTTGTTTTTGTTCTGTAGTAAACAAACCTTTATCCTCTTGATTAGCGTTATTTCTTTTGGTTTGTGCAGTTTAATTCACAAAATTTCTACAAAGTACGTTGTCTACAGGAAACTCGCTAACTTTTTTTGTCGCATCCATAACGCATGTTTATTTTCCTCATTTAAAAATAAAAAATGTTTACAACTTGATATTTTTCTGCTCCCGTAACTCTGTGGTCAGTTGTTTTGGAAAATAGAAACAGATGTTTGAATATAATGTGAACATAGACCTTCTATATGAATTTATGTTTTGAGTTTTTACTGCAAATATCACATCCATATTGCTGGAATGGCTCACATGTTTCATATTGCTTTCCTAAAAGGACACAGAAAGTCTACTCAGAGCTGTTATTTTGGCGTGTGTCTCAGTCTGTGTTCTCACTTGCTTTTTTGCAACTTTTCACTTTTTTGTTACTCACAGCTCCACCTCACTGTCGCTCCATTTTAACAACTTGCTGCTTTTCATCAACATATTTTCACCATGTTTTTAAGAGCCGAAAAGTATATTAAAAAAACTTTAGCACATGAGCATTTTTGGTCCTTTGTGTTTATGACCAGTGTTTGGGAAATGACAGAATGGCAGTTCAAAACAGACTTTACAGCTTGATCCAGATTAGTGTAGAAATAGTAAAAGTTTCTCAGGGAAGAAGTACTTGTGCAAAAGAATACATTTTGAATGCATTATTTCTGCTTTAGAATATAAAGCTTTTTCAATAGAATGTTTACTTAGAGGAATGCACTGCTGCTTTAGCATAACGCCACAGAGTCTTGCTGAATGTAGTTCTTGTTTGTGGTTGAGAGAACAAAAGTGTTGAAGTCAAATTTTTCCACCTTTTTCTTTTTTTCTGTCATCATGTCTCATTAGTGACTACAAATACTTTGCTTATTCAAATACAAATACTTGGCACTTTTTTGTGTCCTTTTCAGGAGCTGGAGGCTGTGAAGCAGCTTTCTGAAACTTCCACGTCTCTTACACACACACTTCAACAGCTGCAGACAGACAGACGCTACTGGTCTAAAGGAGAGAAGCACACACTGCGTCAGTGGTTTTTGGTTTGTTTTGTTTTTTAAAGCAAACTTTTTCAAACTTTTTAACATTTTTCTTCTTCCTTCATTAGCCAAGCAGTTGGAGGAGCTAAAGAACAGATACATGGCTTTTCTCTCCCTGCACCAGTCATAGTCGGAAGGACTCTCTCACAGTCAGCAGAAACCTGCAGTCTAGAGCTTCAATTGAAGTTTCAAGTGGCGAAAAGGTGTGAGGTGTAAAACCAAAATAAAACCACTTCTCTATATGGCCAGAACGGTTTTAAAAACATGTTATTTTACATCCCCGCAATGTCATGCACTGCTAGACACAATATGAACTAACAAAAGCATCTACTAATCATGAAATGGCTCCATCTGATAGGAAACTTCATCTTTCTTCATAAACCCCAGTGCTTTTAGTTTGTTTCCATCTCCAAACAGCCGCAGTGTATCAGTGTTGCATTTATGTTGTGTTTTAATAAAGATTCACCTTGCATAAACTGCACTTTTTAGTTTAAAGATATTTTTTACATTGAAACACGTCTGCTGAAGGAATAAGGGGTTCCCATCACTTCACACATTGATGCGAGTGACTGATGGGAGGGTCTTTCTGTCAGTCAAAAGCACATCTGTTGTAGAGAGCTGTAGTGTTTAAAAAAAGCTTTTCAGGTGGAGCTGATTTTGTTTGTGAGCTTCTTGTAAACATTTCTGTTGCTAATCGGAGCCAGAAGCCAATGGAGAATCAACCACACAATCAACATGGAGAGGTGAGAAACAGAATTGTGTTTTCCTTATGTTGTTAAATATTACAAATAGGGCTGCACAATAAATCGTTTTAGCATCAATATCGCAATGTAATCATTCGCAATAGTCACAACGCGAGCATACACAATGTTAAGTCTGGATTATAATTCATCATTTGCATGTGTTTTTAATGCCTGTGATCGTCAAGTAACATTAAAAGCTTTCAGGCATAAGAAATTGTACCATTTGTAACTTTACCAACGATTATTTTTATTGAATTATTTTTATTTTAATCATTCAGTTACTGTATTTGAATACCGTTTGACTCGGGGAAACGATAAAACACTTTTAATTTAGTCTTTTTCTTGATTGTATTTATAGATTAGTATGCATGAAAATCCTCAAAACATGTGAATACATGCAAATAGCAAAGACCACAATTAAAACATGTCGGGGTCCCCAAAAAATGTATAGAATGTTTATTAGATTTTATAGAGATGAACTCCCACTGCAGAACCCAATCAATCTAACATAAATTTGGCCAAATAGCGATATTCAAGTTATCTGGTGAAACTGTATTTATATCGCAAAATAAAAAAAAATTGCAATGTTAGATTTTTCCATTATTGTGCAGTCCTAATTACAAGTTCAGATAAAACCTTTTGGTATAACATTTTGTTTTAAGAACCAATCCTTACATTCATCTAACGGCTTATTAGCTGTGTATTATGATATTGGCTATTTAGTTGTACTACAAAAGTACACATTCTACTTGATCTTATTCTGCATCCCATTACCTAAACCAGTGCATAATTACTACTTGAAATATTAATAAGGAGAAAATTAAGGGGTTATTGAGGCAAAAGTCATAGTTAATTGTTTATTAGTAGTGAGAATAGGCCTTAAATTGTGTGATCAGCCTTTTAATATACCTTTTACTGGAGGTACTATTGTATTCTATGTAGACTTGTTACATTCAAGCAGACTTCCACAAGACTACATCTACTGAACAGCACCTATGTGATGCTCATACTTCAGCTAAAAAGGTCCTGCATTTGTGTGTACAAGCAGAGATGTGTGAAGTTTCTTATTTGCTGAAGTCTTGAGTGAGAGTGTCATGTGGAGACATTTGAGGAAGAGTGACCTTTCAGTTAAAAAGTTCAGTTTGTGACCTAAAATAATGGCAAGTTTAATTGGTAATTGTTGATATTTCAAAATCACATATTAAAATGTTCTTACCTAAATTAAAGAAGTAAACTCTAAGATTAGTCTGAATAGCAATAGAAAACCATAGACATTCACCATAGAAGTTGGTGTTTGCTTAACATTTCTGAGTATGTTACAGCAATAGATGTTTTCAGTGTTTATGCAAATTGTGAGGAAAAAGAGTCACTTTTGTGAGATATTTGACAAATTGCAGGATATAAAGGCAACACTTTACAATAATTGACACGTTGTTGATGTATTAACTATCATGAACTATACGTTTGTTCACAGTATTTATGAATCTTAGTTACCGACAGTAAATAAAAATGCAGTTATTCGCCGTGTAAATTCAGTGCATTAACTAACGTTACAAGCACATCGTTGGATTTTAATATTGCATTAGTAAATGTATAACTATGCTAAAAGCTATAAATGCTGTACTGTTCATGTTATTAAATACATAAGCTAACATTAACTCTGGGGGCTGTATTCTCTGCTTTATTTTAACATTTCAAAAGGGGAAATTTTAAATATGTGGGATTATAACTCCAGTAAAAAAAAAAAAGCATTTACCATAATGCAAAAAACGGGCTTTAATAGCATGGTGCTGTTTAGTATAAATGTGCACACAAGGTCAGTAACTTTTGTGTTATATACCTATTTAATATATTAGGAATGTTTTGGAGTGCACAGGTTATTGTATTTTGTGTTTATTATTATTATTTACTCCTTGTCAGACTCCTGGGGCAGGAAGTAGAGCTGGTGTGTTAAACATGAATGATTACGCTAGTAAGAAGAGTGCAGCGCAGAGCATGCTGGATGTGGCTCTGCTGATGGCCAACTCGTCTCAGCTGAAGACGGTGCTTCATTCTGGAGCTCAGCATCGCTTCTACACTACTCTTATTGCTCTCATCTCAATCTCCATCTCACTGCAGCTGATTGTTGGACTCCTGCTCATCTTCATTGGTTAGTTAAGATTTGTCAGTTTCAAACGTTCTGCTCTCATTTCATTGACACAAACACTGATGTTTTCTTCAGTGAAGTCCGACCTGAATGATGTGAAGCAGCAGCCGAGGTTGAACACGATGAACAATATGGCCACCGTTTTTGTGTTCTTTACTGTGCTTATCAATATCATCATCACAGCATTGGGATTTGAGGCCGGAGGATGAGCAGAACAAATTAATTAAACTTTTTCCTCCAATTTGAGGCAAATTGTATACTGTTTTCACGAATGGAATTTTAATTAATATTTGTGGACATGTATACTTCAGAACGGAACTGACAACTCTTTTTTGTTTTAGAAACAGCATATGATGTTGCACCCCAGATAGCAAAATACACTCGGGCCAGTTCCGGCTAGATTGTCGCCTGCCGAAGACTTACCCCTCGGCCCAACTCCGGCTGCCGGACTCGGGCCGGATGCCTGTGGACTCACTGCCCGATTCCGGCCCGAATCAAGCGGGCCAGATGCGGCGGCCGTAAGCGAGCCGACGCTGCGCATCCGCGCCGAAATCGGCGCGAGGGTAATGTGCGCTGCGGCCCGGAGCTGGCGCGACTCCGTATTTATACACCTTATAAAACCTTTTGGTATTACATTGGTACTTAATATATGGTATTACAACCATTTGAATTTATACAACAGCAAACACAGGCTATAATGTAAACACAAAGTGTAAGCACTGTGTTTAACCTTTGAATAAAGTGCAAACTGCATACACATTCTGTAACGAAAATAATCAGACAAATGACAAAATAAATGTTAAACGTTTATTAATTGCAAGAAAAAAAATAGTACTAAAATTTTATAAATAATTTTGTAGTGCACAAGAATATCAATATAAAAACAACAATAAAACAACACATTAAAGACACACAGAAAGATTTAAACAAAAAATCTAAAAATTACACACAAACACAGATGTTTTTAAAACAACCCTTTTTTCCCAATAGACTTAAATTAAAAATTTGTACAAACAGCTAAATTTTATATAAACCTAAATATAGAAACCAATTTAAGATATAGCAAGAAACATCTTAAAAATACCAATGACAATCCGTAAAATATACAAGTCAAACTTGTAAAAAGTACTGCAGAATTCTGAAGAAACATCTTGAAACATTTTTTAATAAAACATTAAAATAATAATAAACAAACAAACAAATATATATATATATATATATATATATATATATATATATATATAAATATATATAAATAATTGCAGAAGTATAAAGTCAAACTTATTTTTAAATAAACTTGAACAAAATCAATTGCACAAACAGCAAGACATGAGTGAGATGATTATACATTTCATATATATACACGTCTTGTGCAATTTTATATTTATAATTTTATTTGTATTACGTTTATTAAAAATGTATCAAGATGTTTCTTCAGAATTTGGCGCACACACATACATACATACATACATACCTACATACCATACATATATATACACACACACTTACACACACATATATATATATATATATATATATATATATATATATATATATATATATATATAAATGCAAATGAAAGAAACAAATTGTTCAAGTATCAGGGAACATCTTAATACACTTAAAATGTTGTTTAAAAAATAAAACAAAATAGTGATGTAGACATTTGACACATTAGCTTTCTCTTCTTTCTTCCTCCATCCCTGTCAGGGGCAAGTTGTAGCTACCTTGTAATGCATTTTTCCACTTCTTTCAAGAGTTCACACTTAGCTGATGATTGATTATAAGCAAGTTTGGCATGCTGTCCCGGGAGAGAGCCCTGAGCTCGAAGGTTCTTGAGCCCTGGGCTCCCTCCCGTTTGGAGGAAGAGAGGGGAGCCTCGAGCTCAGGTAGATCTCGACAACTCCCCTTTTTATAATAGCTAAAGATTAAGATTGAAAGCTATTAAAAGATATGCTGCATTATTAGATTACCTGTATTGAAATTTAGATTTAACGATTAACTTGTTGTACATGTTTTTGAAATGTGGGAGGAAACCGGAGAACCCGGGGAAAACCCACGCAAGCACGGGAAGAACATGCAAACTACACACAGAAACGACCACCGGCCTGTTAAGGAACTAGAACCGGTGACGTTCTTGCTGTGAGGCGACAGTGCTAGTCACTGAGCCACCGTGCTGCCCTATGGAGGGAAAGGTGAAAAGGTAGGGGTGGAAGGGGGGATTCTTCAAATCGAAGATGACTGTAGTGAGAAAACCCTGGCTCTTTATAGTGGTTAGGAATGGCCTGATTGGTGGATCAAGCATGCTAATGCAGGACCAGCCGTGTTCAATCATAATCACGTGCTCCTCTCGAAATTAGTTTATGAATAAACTTCACTTCAAGAGTTCACACTTAGCTGATGATTGATTATAAGCAAGTTTGGCATGCTGTCCCGGGAGAGAGCCCTGAGCTCGAAGGTTCTTGAGCCCTGGGCTCCCTCCCGTTTGGAGGAAGAGAGGGGAGCCTCGAGCTCAGGTAGATCTCGACAACTCCCCAAAATGCTCCGCTCGGGACAGCAGCCGCGTATTTGAAGAACCCCCCAAAAGGCACA